CTAGAATGTCTTTGGTGAGGATATTTATTTGTTTGTTTGTTTGTTTGTATTTCAAATGTGTTACTGACCATCTCACTGCAAAGCAACTCTAGGCAGTTTACAGTAAAAAATAAATATTAATTAAAATACAGGAAAACAAGATTCCTATATAAATAATAAATATCTTCCAAGAAACTGATGTTAAGTTCAGTGAATGATGACACTAACTTTTCTTCAGGCTTCCAAGAAGGCTGAGAAGAGAGCCCTGTTGTCTGATTTGGAGGAAAAGGGTCATCTTTAGATAAACAGCTGCACCTTTCTCATTGTAGTAATCCAGAAAATAATGAGAGATTTTAAAATGGGCTTTTGATGTTTATTTGCCAGTTTCCTTATATTTGCCAGCTTTAATTACTTCTTCCTTACCTCTAGTAAGAGATCTGATGCTTAAATATGTTGATACTTTGATTTTGCCAAAGATGATCTGTTAAGTTGAAGTTTTACTGTGTAACGGCATTATTTTGATCACAAGGCAAATGTTGTAGGGAGTCTTATTAAATCTTCTTCCAGCACAGGCTGATGGAAGAACATTAAACTGAACCTGAGAGAAGGCTGTGCAAAATTTAGGTAGCTCCAAAGGGAAGGACATTTGACTAGCTGTGGACTCTGCTTCAGACTCAAACTCCAGGGGCTAAGACTTTTAAGAACTAAGTTAAACCCATGTTGCAATTCCATGCCAGGACTCCCTGTTTAAAAAGCATCCTGGCTTGATGATAACCCATAAACAGAAAAATCTCTGGAAATTGATGTTTGGTTCACGGTATAGCCAAAACGTTCTGCTTCCAACCTAAATTAAATTTGTCAGATATTATTAAGGCAGCTAAGCCCATTGGATAAAAGTTATGTGTTAAGCAAAAATTAAAAATCCCCAGCCAACTGCAGGTCTCTTCCTTGGGCAGACCACTCTCAATCCATTAGTAAGAGATCTGGTTGCCAGCTGCTCAATTTCACTTTTCTCACTGTACAGTACCTGATTAGTTGCACAATTATGGCGGAGTCTGTCTCCTTCTCTGAGGCTGTTGTTTCTTTATTTCATATTATTGAGAGGATGCCCAAATGAATGCAGGAGGAGAGGCAGACAAATCAGCCTAGAGAATCTTATGCAGGGTTCTGAAGTCAAACTTTTCCCACTGCAATGCTGTCATGGCTGGAGGGTTTCCTGCATGCTGGTGACATGGTGAAAAGGGATGGCGGCAAAGGTAGAGAGAAAACTAATATCCTTGCCTATTATGAGTGTCACACTAACAAATCAGGACAATGCCATTTGGCAGTGGCTCAGAACAGCCACAACTGGCACACAGGCAAGAGACTGGCAATGGAGACAGCAGATTTTATGCCAACATCATTTTGTGCTGACTCACAGCTGGGCAAAGGGCCCGTTAAACCCAATAGTGGGAAAAGACTCTACATCAGGAATAATAGAAGGACTTCATCTTGATTCTCTTTGGTCTCTCACCATTGCTTTCAGTCACAATATTTTTTGCAATTGCTTTTTACAGATGCGGACTGAAGAATTCTGCTTTCAGTAGTTCAGATAATAAAACAGGGTGTTTTATAAATGGGTCATCACCCAAAGGCTCATAGATCTTGACCTCTGGTGACCATAAGACTTTGGTCAATTGAAGGCTTTACATAACACTAGCTATAGGCTAGGTTATCAGCCTTAGTTGTACCTGTGCCACAAACAGAAGTCCTTACTAAGAGTAAGGACACTGCCAGTCAGTTTTGGAATTCTTTGGCCA